CGGACCGCTCGCTTGGTAGGCGAGAATTCTACCGTTAAAACACCAGTGCTGCTACAGATTTTCATTTGTTTTCATTTGATATATTAACTTATCTTGTCTTTGTGTAACAAAATCATTCAATACAGGTCCGTTGAAAAATAGGCACTGCATAATCAAGTCTTTTCTTCTTTGACTTAATTTTCATAAGTCTTCTTTTTTGATGTACCACTGGACATACCATTTTGACAGGTGAACAACATGCACTGGTGGTTCAGTGGTAGAATGCTCGCCTGCCACGCGGGCGACCCGGGTCCGATTCCCGGCTAGTGCACTCTTTTTTTTTCTATCCGTGTCATTTATCATTAAAATTTCAGATTCAAGAATTCTATACACCGTGTCCTTATTGAATTTTTTCATGCTTTTGTAGTGACAAGAGTTATTATTTAATCAATAAATCAAACCAATATGCCATGGAAATATTTCAGTAGACCAAGTGGTGGTGCTTGTTTAAATAATTTTCTCGTATTAATGCTTCAAGAGATTTTTTTCTTAAGATTCATGTATTCTTTAGAAATCTTTTACTTATTTATCCATCTGTGCTTTTCTCACTACCAAATCAGTTACTGTCATAGCGTCAGACTATATTGAATGCGCATCTTCTTTGCAGGATAGAGTCATTCAATAGAAATTCATTGAGAAATAAATACCAAAAGATCAGCTCTTTGTTTTGATCTGATTGTGATAAGTCTCCTCTTTGGTTGTAGCACTGTAGATATGATATGGACAAATCTATAGCAAGCACTGGTGTTTTAACGGTAGAATTCTCGCCTACCAAGCGAGCGGTCCGAGCAGTGGTTCAGTTGCCAAATAATCAATAACAAAATTTTCGTAAAACAAATTCAGCGTAATAATTATAATATTTGAATAGATTTTGGGTTCGATTCCCGGCCAGTGTATTTTTTTCTTCCATTTATATAACTTATAATATTCAGATCATGTGTTGAAAACAATTCACCTTTAAATTTATTCAACAAACCGAATTAAGATACTACTTTATTTCGTGCCATTCAATGAGAATATTTCAAAAGACAAAATCGTGAGGCTTTCGATAAATAATTATATTCATCATTACTCCGGGCGAGCATCTTTTTTCCTTGTTAATGCAAAAGAAACATTGATGTTTTGATATGAGATTATTTTTTGGTCTCTACTTGTTCTTTTCTCATTACCTAATCAGTTACTGTCGTGACTTCAAATTATATCCAATCTATATCGTCTTTGTACGATAACATCAGCCAATAAATGTCTGTTGATGAATAGGCATCACATCATGTGATCTTTTTATTCACTGACTTCGATTTTATGAGTCTACTATGTTGATGTAGTTAATGTAGATAGAATATGGAAGAGTGATTAACATGCACTGGTGGTTCAGTGGTAGAATGCTCGCCTGCCACGCGGGCGACCCGGGTCCGATTCCCGGCTAGTGCAGCCGTTTTTTGTCATCAAAAGTTCGCATTGAAAAACTAAACAAATCATGTCTTGATTAAATTTTTTCATATTTTTCTAGTGATACCAGTGTTATCTATTCAATAAATCGAACACATCTATTTTACATGATAATTTGTTGTTCAATGACAATATTTCAGTAAACAAAGTAGAAGAAGTTTTTGTAAATAATTATTCTCTGTAATGTGTCACACAATGTTTTCTTCTCAAGATTAATATTTTCTTTTGAAACTATTCTACTGTTTAACCATCTTTGCCGCTCTTGTTGCCTAATCTGTCATTGATGTAGCTTAAAACGTTTTGAACCTCCATCGTCTTTATTTGATAGAATCGTTCAATAGGGATTCCTTGAGGAATAGGTGGCAAAGGACCATGTCTTTCTTTTGACCTGATTTTGATAGGTCTACTCTTTTGATGTAACCTTGCAGATATAATATGAACAAATCTATAACAAGCACTGGTATTTTAATGGTAGAATTCTCGCTTTCCAAGCGAATGGCCCGGGTTCGATTCCTGGTCAGTGCACATTTTTTTCAAAATTTTCGTAATTTGCTCTTAGAATTTCATATCGAGCAACTTTATCGGTCACATTTTCAAAAAATTTGTAATATTTTAATAATGACTCACTTTTTTTGGTCATTGAACAAACCCAACTATTACGCTGTTGTATTTTGTGTGATTCCATAAAGTATCTTTCAAAAACAAAAGTCGTGAAAATTTCGTTAAATAATTATCCTTACCGATGCTCTACACATACACTTGTGTTTTCCAAATCGACTATTCTCAACACTTCAAATTATATTGCATTGATAGTGTCTTTGTATGACAAAATCGGGTGAAGGGCACTTCGTCTCACCTCATTCCGAACTCCAGACATGCGTCCGGATGTCCGGAAATGAATTTTTCCTTGACTGGAGTTCGTAATAGAAAAGCAGGGAAATTGGAATGGTTTGACCGGATGTTCGGAATAGAATATTTCTTGATATATCTAATGCAGGTCCGGAGATCGTAATGAATAAGGTCAAATGTTCCGAATAATGCATTTTACGAAAAAAAACAGCCCGATGACCGGAATAACATTGACCGGCACTTCGTAAAAAAAGATTCACTGGAAGATCGTAACGGATATAAAGACTTTTATTTCTGTTTTTCTATAGAAGAAAAGCATTCATTTACTTAGCACATTCATAATTATATCAGGAGACATTTTTCTGTATCTATCGCTGTTCTGTAAAACTGTAAAACAAATGTGTCCCTTCATATTCTCTCAAAGTTGAGTAAACTNCAGTGCATCAGTGATCCGTGATGCACTGGTCATCGGTGCTCCAGTGGCGTCAGTGTCAGTGTGTTTGATATTTCAGTGCTCAGTGACACTTAGTCTATCGGTGTGCACTGAGTGTTGCTGGCGGCGACAAAAGTGTCAGTTTTTTCGGTTTTGTCACTGACACCGCACATCCCTAACTTATTTTAAAAAATACGAGTGAATATTTTTTGAATAACTATTGATCGAAATACGATAGAGAAGTGCGGTTTTCACCGTTGGAAACTGGAGATGAAGACGCATCGAATCGTATATTCCAGGTTTCCTGATCTGTCTTTTTGTAAGGTTTTCAATCGATCTTTTTAAGAACAAACTCATATGGTAAGTTATTCACAGTAAATTTTCAATTATCAAATATAAATTCAAACCACTTCTCGAAGATTTACGAAGTGCGGAAGGTTGAGATGAATAATATGCATTCTAGTCGAGTCTCAAATATGATTTTGTAGCAAAATCTGTTAATAAAACTCACTTTTGTACTTTTTCCCTTTTATGATAAAAAGAAACATTTTTCCAACTGTTAGAAAATTGAATGAAAATACTTCAGAAATCAATATTAGAAAAACTTACAATACATGATTCGACGCATCTTCATTTCCTCTTTCCAACGGTGACAACCGCACTTCTCTATCTTGTTTCTATCAAAACATATTCAAAAAAATGCTCATTAGCCTTCATGTAACCGTGACATATGCGAACAAAACAGATCTTATCGAAATTTCATTATTATGATATTAGTTGACGTATGATCAAATAGCATACTCTGAGTATCTGTGGTGTAAATTTCATGCGGATTGGTTGTATCTTTTTGAAGAAGTAGAAACGGTACAAAAAGATGAGGGTACTCTTAAACAAAATTTTGATTCATATACACTCTTAGATTTGATGTTCTTATGTTACGATAGAAGTAAATCAAAAGACCTGGAACAACTTTTGTTAAGGCCTGTCCGTATGCAATGTTTCAATTCGAAATTCGAGAATCACTATGTCCCAACATGAACTCTATAGACTTTATAAATATTTATTATTAAAAATTTATTCAAATCACGTGTATACATCTTTATTTTCTAGTTTTGGACAAATCTTGGTTGATTTACATATCCTGACTGAAGAACGTATTATATTACAATTGTATGAAATTACTCAAATATTTGTCGATTTTCTTCAACGTTATGATAATATGTGTAAAGACTGCTAATAAAAATTTGTTTTGTTTTTAATATTAATTGTATTTTTAGCTCAAAGTTTAACAGCTGAACAATTATTTGATAATTTAACATTAAATATAATTTTACAATCGGATTTAACATTATCAAAACCTTTTGAAAGTGCAATATTAACTGCGAAAATAAATTATTTTGTTGTAAGAATAAAATATATTTGTTTTTACTACGAAAAATATTTAAAATATTATTTTTTTTGTTTCAAGTTATCAGAATTTATTGTCGGAAAAATAACTGAAACATCTAAATATCGATTATTTTGTCGTGAACCTGGTTTTTGGACTTTATTTATCCTAGATGATGGAACTTCTAAAAGTCTTAAAGATCGCGTTGATCGTTATTGTGGTATTCATAATAATGTTGATCCTGTTTATAATAAATTAATGAATGGTATTCGTATTGATAAGGTAATTTATTTCATAGGAATTTATTTAAAGTAAATTTCTTTTTCTTTTTAATTATTAGTTACAAAATTATTTCAGTGATATGCATTTTTCATTTATGGCCTTTGAAGGTTTAGCAAATATATTATTTGCAATAAATAGCGCAGGATCATTTGAAAATGATTTACGTTTAACACTTGATAGTGTTTCAGCTGTTAGTGAATTATTAGCAAGAACAAAAACAGCTGGAATTAACCTTTATGCGTAAATTATTTAGTTTTCTTTTTCTTTTTGTTTTATTAATATTTCATTTTATTATTATTATAGTTCATATAATTTTGTTAAAAAAATAACAAAAACATTTAATCCTAATTTATTAAATACACCGATATTTAATACACTTGATATAGTGATACCAGTTTTGACGCCGTTATTTAATTTTGACCAACTTATATCTCTAATAGCTGGAGTTCCACGTGGAACTGTTGATAATTTTGTAAATAATTTCAATATAATTAATAGTTTTCTAGCAACACCAGCTCCGACAAAAGTAAATATTAAAAGTCAAAAACAAAAATTTGATTTCAATTTTTTTGTATTAAACATTTAGATTATGCGTTTAACAACAACGGCAAATATTTCAAATATAAGAACAACAACTAAACCTCAATTAAGAGCCCGTTATATTGATTGGTCCTCACTTTTTCAAGGAAATAATTTTGTTCAACAAGATATGCCAAAATCTTTTGTTATACCACAAAATATTGCTGATTATAGCCAATGGGTCAAACGACAAAAACGAGTATGTATAATCTTATATTTAAAATCAAGTTTTTCTATGAGTAAAGCGAATTCAAACATAAAGACTTTCATTCTTACAAACTCTTTCATTTAAATGAAAATGGCAAAAAATCTCCATATTTTAGTTCAATTTTCAAATTTTAGAACAGAAATTTTCATAGTCTCAAAATTCTCAGATACTCTCCTGTAGAAAATATTGGAGTTGCAGGGACTGAAAATGTTTTTATAGACACTAGATATTGTTTGCGTTGTTTACCTTTTTATCTGCTTGCGTTCGAATAAAAAAACATGAAATCCCTGAAAGCATTCTTACAGGTGAATGTTTGTTTTGACTGAAATTTTTTATGTAAATTCTGGCAAAAAATCAGTGGTATGTCATATTTTGAAATAAGAAAAAGTGGGAACCCAAAAACCTTTTCAGTATCAGTAGAAAGTAATGTCAGCTCGATTCGATGTACTGTGATTGAAAAATGAGGGGTGATCCTTCACTTTTCCTTATAAAAAAACCTCTTCTTTAAAAAAAACAGCGAAAATACTTCATCTTTCTGGTTTTCCAACTTTTATACAAATGCCCGCTAGATAGAGAATGGTTCGAAATGCATATAGAACAGAAAATAACTAAAATCGAAAGTGACAAAATTTTCCATAGGAACAGGGCGCGAATGCCTCTTCCTTCAATGGATTCTAATAAGTCGTAAAAAGTTCGACTCTGCATTGGAAAAGTATGATTCAAATTGACATACAACTACAATGAACATATTCATCACTTTACAGTACTACAGTGGTATGTTATTGAAAACCCGCTAAAGTACATACTAGTTTTTCAATAGTCTTATGATAGAATATACCCAGCTGTCGGATCCTGTTTGGTTTCATATAACGGCTACGAGTAGATCTCAGTGAGACTAAGATAAACTTTAAAAGATTCAGACCTATGGCCTACTTAGCAAGAGTTATGGATGTTTTAATGAAACCTTTACTGAGAGCAAAACATTCCCAAGAAATCCATAGCAAAGAGTTTCAATCTGAAATTCGACCTATAGGCACGTTTAATAATCATTAGATTGTCCTAAAACTTAAAACGACTATGAACATGTCTTTCTCGAGATATTCAATGTAAGAAAAAAAGCAGCGATTTACTATAGGACGACGCAACAATCGAGTTTACTTCGAAATCGAATATCATGAGAAAGATATATTTGTTTACGTTGAAATTTTATCTTACTCTCAATAAAAGTTGCATTAGAACATCCATAACACTTTATCAATGGGCTATGTGTCCGAACCTTTGTTAAACACGTCTGAGTCTCACAGAGACCTAATCGTAGCCATAATATGCAGTCGAATGGCGTCCGATGGTTGTATAAGTTCATTTGTTTGAGAAGAAACTTTCTTGTTCATTTAGTGACTGTATATGAAACAATACTTTTCTTTTGTTTTTAGCAACTCGATCTATTATCTGGTATTCTTGGTCAAACAATATCTTCGAATTCTGTCGGCTCACCATTATCTAACATGCCTGATTTTGTTAAAATGTTCAATAGATTTACTCCTGAAACACTCGAATTTCTTTGTATAGAACCATTAATGAACTTGATACCAAATGATCCTGTACTTAATTATATATTTGGTATTGGACGTGTATTTGAATTAATTAATACATTTATGTCAATAGTAACATCAACAAATCGTATACGTTGTTCACAAAATCCTAATTATGATTATGATCAAATATCGCAATTTCTTCGTTTAAATAAAACAGCCGGATTGGTAAGAATGTTTAATTTCTATTTAAAAATATTTTTTTTTTGTTTTTTTCAAGATTCGTGATCTTATGAAAAATGGTTTTCAATCAAAATTTAGTTGTTCATTAATAGTTGATGTTGTTAAAAATATTCAAGTCTATCAAAATTTAGTTGATATTATGCAACATAATTCAATAACACTTGATACACTTGATTGTTTAAAAGAAACATTACTTCAAACATTAGAACGTTTAAAAATTTTACCTGGTTTATTTCGTTTTATATTTGGAGATTCATCATTAATAAAAACAATAAAAAAATTAATACCATTAATTCAAATATTTGCACCAATATTTTCTCAACAAACATTTAAATTTGTACAATTAAATGATATGATTGAAAATGCAAATAATTTTACATTATTTTTACAACAAAAACGAAATATAACATCAGTTACTCAGTGGTATTTTAATACAAGATTAGTAAGTATTTAAATTAATAGAAAAAAAAAGTTTAACAACAACGTATTTTTGATTGTTTTCTTTTTGTTCTATAATGTTAAGCAGCTAGCTCAAATCTAGATAGTTATTTGAATATTCAATGGAGTTTTCTATCTAATGCATTTTACAGGGTATAGGTGTGGATACATCCACATTCTTATTAACATTGATTCATCCTGGTAGTATCTTTAAATCAGTCTGGTCTATGATTTTGAATTATTTTGTAATTCATTTGCGTCATGAGCTTACTGAAATGCATAAAATCATTGTCTTAAAAAATCTTTAAAAAAATATTGAAGAAAGTTTATTTTTTGAATTCAACCCAATCTTTACATATGTGTTATTTTTTTATTGTTGATATTTTTGATAACATCGGTATCAACGTGATAGCATTTCAACTCTATCGTGTCAGTATTCTTCATTAAGTCGTTGGATAAATTGCACACTTGTATAGCTTCAATGAAAGATATTTAGCCATAATTCAGCCTGTGGAATGAAGCAGGTTGTTAAAACAACTTGAACACTTGATATTAGTACATTTTCACAAGAACCAGAAATTTCGTCGATTTACTACTAATAGGGGTGACCCTTTATCTTTACTATCCTTTATAATAAAGGATAAAGATAAATGAATCCTTTACTCTTAAAAAATAAAGGTAAATAAATCCTTTATTTTTAAAAATAAAGATAAATGATCATTTATTTTAAAAAAATAAAGTTAATTAAATAAAGGAATACTTTATTTTAAAAAAAATAAATGTAAATGAATCATTTATCTTTAAAAAATTAAAGAAAAACAAAGGAATAAATGATACTTTTTACGAAGACAGATANCATTTATGAAACGTTTAGCTATAATTAATAAAAAAGCACAAAAGTATAAACAACGTAAAAAATTGAAAAATATCAATCAAGATTTATTCGTTATTAAATATTCTCATCTAAAGCGCCTTATTTTGGATGAAGCTCATGATGATTACGTCGAACAATTTCTACTAGATTTAATTTAAACTCAAATTTGTTTTTGCAAAAAAAAGTTTACCGAGAAAAAGTATTTTTCTTGGTGAAAAAAAATTCTTCATAAACATTTAAGTTAGAATTATTAGTCAATAATTTTTCCTTATATGACACAACTATTTTTTATAAATCTCATGTTATCGTGTGTAAACATTTGTCATATGAATACATGGATTTAAAATATTTGAATAAAATATAAAAATAAGAATTTTCTTTTATCAAATACATTTATTCTATAAAAATTCAAATTTATTTAAGTAACAAATGAAAATAATTATGATACATCAATATCAAGAAAATAATCCTTGAAATGTTTTGGAAATCGAAGATCTGTATCTGAACATATATATTTCACTTTTGAACAATTAATTCGTGTTTCATTTCGTTTAAAATTGTATGTTACTCTCTTTAAAGGTTTATAATCGACATAAAGATCAACACCATATGGTAGACATGTTTTTGTATCAAGTAGAAATTGTTCGACGTAATCATCATGAGCTTCATCCAAAATAAGGCGCTTTAGATGAGAATATTTAATAACGAATAAATCTTGATTGATATTTTTCAATTTTTTACGTTGTTTATACTTTTGTGCTTTTTTATTAATTATAGCTAAACGTTTCATAAATGGAAATGATTTTTGAATTCGAATAAAAAATTCATGCTCAAAAGGATGTTCATCATATAATGATACTTCATAAACACATGTAAATAATCCACCTGGAAAATTATTTGCAATATTTTCATAACGTCTCATTGTGTATGGATATGAATATATATGACATTGACCTTGATTATTTTCTAGAAAATAATTGACACAAGAAATAATCTTATTATTTAAAAAATCTTTGAATGTATATTGAATATCTTCATTAGATGGAACATCAATTTGATCTTTTAACGATATAGTTGAACGAATATTAAATCGAAATTTATTTAATTGTGGTAAATAATCAATAATATTTTGTTTCAAGTCATTTCCATTAAGAAATCTATTACGATAAACGTGCGATAAATACAAACTAAGTCGTTCTAAATTTGACATTCGATGTAAAAGTGGTATAATTACTGTATCATAGAATTCTATACTTAAAAGACAAGTTAATGAAAAACATCGTAAATTTGGTAGTTTTTCCTAAAAGATAACTTATATATATTGGTAGTGTTTAATAAAAACATACCTTATTTATTTTTACGACCGAACGAGAAGAAGATGAAATTGCTATATCAACACAGAATGTTCGCAGTTGATTGAAACGACCATCAAGTAAATAAAGACAATCTTTAACATACATAACTTTGACATATAATTCTAATAAAATTGAAGAAAACACAGTTGGAGGTGAAGAGCAGAATGATATTCGTTGATAACAAAGAAAAAATGGATCGAAATTTAAACATTTTAAGTTAGTGAACATATTGAAAATATGTGTAAACATAAGTGTATCCAAATCTATTGGTGTATCTTGTTGTATGCTAATAGTTTTAATCGTAAATGATAAGATGTCATTTTTAAATTTATGTATGAAAGAAGTTTTGTCTAAATATAAATACAAAATAATTAATCATCTAGTTATCATCTTTCTTTTCTTTGTTTAAACAAAAAAGAATTATTTTACGATATCTAACTGTAAAAATCATCCGAATTGTCATTCATTTTAATATATCAATTATTAAAATGAATCGAAATAAAAATACTTTACCATTGAATAGGTTCAAAACAGCCTGTTTTTCAATGTTATATATACCAAATCCAAATAAATTTGGATAATTTACAGAAAGAAGAATACGTTGCATAGATAATGGTTCAAGATCAAGCCATTTGATTTTATGACCTATTTTAGGTAAGATCTGTAAACAATATCGGTCAAGCATTAAGTCAGATAATGGATAAATACAATCACACGATAAATAATTGAATAATGTTAATTTATGAGTAAAAATAGATTCACGCACAATTCTATTGAATCGTTTATTAACACCTATGAAAGAGTATAATACGTCAAGTTTATTTAACTTTTTCAAAATGAAAAAAATAATTTCATCAGGTAAATCATTCAATTGAACAGATGAATAATATTCCATCTTGATTTATATTGTATATAGATTTTTCTTACGTTATAAATATCAATAATTTTACGTATATATTTATAATCGCTCGTTCCATTTGACCGATATCGTCAATAAAAACAATGTTATGTATTTTTTCTAGTCTAATGATGTAAATAGACAATGAATGAATGAATGATATTATTTCTCCTCTCATATTATTGGTCACACTTGATGAACATTCTTTTTAAACAGTCATATCATATACGGCTACAGATTGATTGTGGACATTTTTTTTCGACCAATTAAGGAAATATATTCGCAAAGTAGAATCGAGATAGAGAGATAAAAATATCCACATTATAGAATCAAGGAAAAATTTATAAAAGTAAAGAAATACAAAGATAAAATTAGTATAGGATGATTAAATATTTAACTATTTTTACATTCATAATTTAGATTACGACTTGTCCCCAGGCAACGTACTCACCTTTTGGTAACTTTCCATCTTAATTTATCCGAAATAACTAAATATAGAGCCTTGAAATTTGGTGTATAGATCCATACTACCAAGTTGTTTAATGTTCAAAATTTTCATCTCAACTCATTCTATGGTCCACATTTAACAAGGAAAATCCATAGCGGTAACACACTCACACAAAAGGTCCCCTATTTTTGGGTGGTATCGGAAATGATTCATTTCCCACAAATGTGTACGCTACGATCACATATGATCGAGAGCAAATTTGTAGTAGACTGTCTGGACTATCCGCTAAAAATAAGATATTTTCAAAAATGTTCTCCTACTGTTGAGCTATACATCAATTATTGTGGTAACGCACTCACTCAACTTTATAGAGCTCACTAAAAGTGATATTTTCACAATCTTCACAAAAAATAGGAGATTATATGTTTATGACAAACTGCAGATTTAGCATCAAGATCACTAGCAACATCTTCATTTTTTATCAGAACTAAAACACTGATTGAGATATGATAAGAGGCAAAAATTAATTTTCAAGCGATTTTTGCCCAAAAATGCTTTATTTTGACTGACAACTACTGTTCCTTCTCGAAATCTTTCGGGATAAACCAGATAGATCGACACAGAACGTACGAAAACCTATTTAAAACCTTGAATTGAACACAATTAGTTGTACTGTGAATGAGAATTTCAGTTCTCAACTTTAATAACGCTGGGCGAGCGTTAGCCGAACAAGCCGATTATCCTGGTCAGATGTATCCAATAAATGAATCTATCTATAACAAAGAGAACTCAATCTCTTTTGATAACCATTTAAATCGAAAAGACTTGAACGCCACGTACCGTTAAGTACTAGACTAGTTCGATCGAGATCATATTCTTCAGAGATGTCATAATATCCAAAGGCTGGGTATCGAGAAGGTACTAGTCACCCAATCCGCCTGAGAGAATACCCAAAATGGACACCCGATTTTTTAAAGTTGAGGATTTTGAGTGAATTTGGTGTAACGAGATGGATACCCAAAACGGATATCCTATCTAAGATAGGGTATCCGCCCCGTCACACAAAATTCACTCAAAATTCTCACTTTTGAAGAATATATGGGTGTTTCAAAATTTCGATACCCGTGTTCCGGATATTATGGCATCCCTCTTTACTTTCATATAAAATACTTTCGATTACAATCATTTGATATTTTCTCGAGAATTTAGTCTTTCAATTACAGAATTTAACATGATTTATGAGTTATCAGTAGATTTTAGATGGATAATATGTATTTTTTTTATTAATATAATTCTTTGTTTTTCCAGGAGTATTCAAAAGAAAAAAACATGTTAGATGGCGTCAGCTCTCAGGTGTTATCTTCTTCTTTCTGTCATCCTTGTGACGTCATCATATATGTACATTCCATCTATATCTTCTTGCGTTCTGTTGTTATGCATGAATAGATATATGTTCACTATTCCAGTATGTTCTAGTGTGTTCGTTCTCTCTATTGATCTTGTATGTTCTCAACAGTACTCTCGTGTAAGTTCTGGAATCTCTCGTATGGTCTAGCGTATTCTATTTGTTCCGGACCCACATATATATATACCTCCTCACTCTCAACAATAAAGCGAACGGTACAAGGTTGTACATACAAAATAATATAAACTTCTCTCTGGCTTACAACTGGTTAGTGGTTGACTACCCTCACATTGGTGCACTAGCCAACTGTTTGTCAACTCAACATCACAAACAACGTCAGATATTGGTGAGTAACTAAACTCTCAAACTGGTTACTACACGCAACACCTCCGAGGAGCAAGCAGAAGCAAACCGTCGACTGTTCGAAGAGAAACTTGAAGCTAAACGACTTGCACGTCAACAGACACAACTGCAAGATAATATGGCATCCAACTTGTCAGCGCAAATATTACTTAAAGGTATTCAGCCGCCTGAATTATTTACAGGTGCCGACGAACAAGATCCAATGACATGGATTCAAACCGTTGAGGAATTATTTGACGCCACAAAGGTTGCTAATAATGATCGACGATATTACCTCCCAATGTATTTTGGCGATGATGTGAAGAAATGGTATCGTAGCGAAACACTTAGCAGTGATTATGAAGAATTTAAGAAACAATTCATCAACACATTTACATCATCCGTACATAAACTGAAGATCTCGGCTAAATTGTTGAATCGGCACCAAGGTAACAACGAGTTAGTTCAATCGTATTACTACGATATTCTGGCATTATGTGCTCGTTTGAATCCTGACATGACGGAAGACGAACAAATATTACATCTACTTCGTGGTTTAAAACCATCCATCCAACAGCATGTCCTAATGAGTGATCCTAAGAAATGTAAAGACTTGTTGGAACATGCAAAACGAGCCGAAGCTGCTGCATCGGTACTTCCAACAACACCAGACCTGACAGCAGCAATCACAAATGAACTTATTGACGAGACAACAGCAGCTCTGCGTCGTACATCAATTAATCAAAGTGCTTCGTCAAACATTCAGCATGGTCCGAACACTTCGATTAATCAGGGAAAATCACACAATCATCGTGCACATCAACACTCCATTCAGCACCAGTACAACAGTGAATATCGTAAGTTTCCAAAACGAAAGTCACGCAACTTTACATGTTACAACTGTGGTGGCATTGGTCATTTTGCATATCAATGTCCTAGTTATTTAAACTAGTACGGGTGTCACCTGATGGTAGTGTCACCCACCATCCCAAAAATCCATCGTCATTAATACATATTAAAGTACTAGTAAACAATATCGAAACAAAAACCATGATAGATACTGGCTCAACAATATCGGCCATTAACGCAAAATACTTGAAGAAGCTCAACATCAATCAACATATTTATCCGACAAAAATATCGTGTACAACGGCCAATAGTAATCAATTACACACGTCCGGTATGATTGCGCTACGTATTACAATCAATAATGTAAAAACGAAAGTATGCGCGTTTATTGTCGAAGACTTATGTACAGATTTGTTACTTGGCGGTGACTTTTGTGTTTCACATCATGTCAACATCGACTACGATACCAAACGTCTAACCCTACGGATTAAACGACAACAAACAACAATCAAATTCCATCAACATGTGAACGAGCAACAAGTATTCAAAGTGAAAACCTCAAACGAAGTTTGTATACCACCTTTCTCCGCAAGAGTTATTCAAGCAACAACAGCAGCTCCGTCAATGTCGGCAATCTTCACTCCATCATCAAAATGGTTGAATAAACAACTCATTATTGCTCCACACGCCGTATTACTCATCGATAACAACAATACTACAACGTTAACATTATTGAACACCACGGCCACAATCCAAAAGATCCCAAAAGGTACAAATTTAGGTCAAGTCAAATATCATGAAAACAATAAATGTTGCTATGTGTACCCAGAGCTAAGAAATTGTCATCAACATCGTCTTTCTAGCGTGATACCAAATACAACACAGCAGACACCAACATCAACGTCGTCAATTACCAACACCATCCACGACCTGATAAAACATCTTCCTCTCACCCAAAGACACCAGGTAGAGCGGGTACTATTAAAACACCAAGACGTTTTCGACACATCAAAACCATCGGTCATGAAAACGAATAATGTTTTTCATCGCATTCCAATCCAGCAGCATCACCAACCAATCCAGTCATATCCATATCGAAGACCCGCCAAAGAAACTCAAATAATCAACGAACAAGTAAAAGAAATGCTGGATAATCATATTATTAGACCTAGTTCAAGCCCTTGGTCGTCTCCGGTTGTAATTATAAAAAAGAAAGATGGCAGTCCTCGATTTTGCGTGGACTATTGGCGACTGAATTTAATAACTGAACGGGATGTATATCCTCTTCCCCGTATAGATGATATCATTGATAGACTTGCTGGATCACAGTATTTTAGCACATTCGATCTTAAGTCCGGCTACTGGCAGATTCCAATCGACGAACAGGATAAAAAGAAGACGGCATTTGTGACAACCGACGGCCTGTATGAGTTCAATGTTCTTCCCTTTGGCCTGTCTAATGCACCCGCTTCATTCCAACGTATAATGAATTCGGTCTTAGGAGTATTACGTTGGGATATTACTCTGGTATACTTAGACGATATTATAATTTATTCAAAATCATTCGAGAAACATGTACAACATCTGAACTTGGTGCTTAATGCATTACAGAAAGCCAATGTCAAACTTAATGCCAAGAAATGCTCCTTGGTACGTAAACAGTTGGACTACTTGGGCTTTCGAATTACACAGGAAGGTATCAAACCAACAACGGCAAATGTGAAAAAGACAATTGATTTTCCAACGCCTACCTCAGCAAAAGCAGCTTATTCATTCATCCAAATGGCACAGTTTTATCGTCGTTTCATCAAAGACTTTGCTAGCATAGCTGCTCCATTGAATGTATTTAAGACCAAAAATGCCAAGTTCGTTTGGACGCCCGAATGCCAAAAGGCCTTCGACATGCTGAAACAAAAATTATCTCAATATCCACTACTGGCATTCTATGATGGCAAGTCGAAACTAAAATTGAAAATCAGTACCGACGCATCTAATATGGGTATTGGTGGTGTCTTACATCAAGTCACCTCAAATGGACATCTTCAACCAATCCAATACTTGTCACGATCACTGTCAAAACGGGAACAAAAATATTCAGTCGTTGAAAAGGAATGTTTGGCAATGGTTTGGTGCATTACAAAATTGCGCCCGTATTTGTATGGACGCGAATTCACCTTAATTACAGATCATCATCCATTGTGTTGGCTCAACAAGCAATTGTCAAAGAACGGCCGCCTCGACCGATGGTCGCTGCAGTTACAAGAATACTCATTCGATATCAAGCATACATCGGGCTCATCGAATTGTGTCGCCGACTGTCTCTCCAGAAACCCGGTACAGCAACCAGACGACCTCGTCGAAGAACAACTTGACGTAATGCATAGTCCTCTCAACCATATGAATGCGGTTGTCAACCCACCCTTTGATTCAACACTAATACGTGAACGACAGCAAAAGGACCAGACAATTAAACGAATATATGAACAGATATCAAACGGAAAACAAAGATCATCGTATTCGTTAGAAGATGGATTGGTGTGCAAGATCATCCGACGACCAGGTCAACCTATACTACAACTACCCTATATTCCAGCATCTATGGTGGATCAATTGTTGCATGCTTATCATGACAGTCCGACAAGCGGTCATTTAGGCGTCAATAAAACGTGGTATAAAATTCGTGATCGATACTTCTGGCCTGGAATGTTTAAGAAAATTAAGGATTATGTGTTATCATGCACAAAATGTAAGCAATTTAAGATCGATAGAGCAAAGCCAAACGGTAAACTGCAACCCATCGAACCACCGACAGGTGTTTTGGACCTTATGGGCTTAGATTTTATTGGTCCAGTTCCACAATCATCCAACGGAAATAAATATATCCTGGTATGTACAGATTACTTGTCACGTTATGCAATCACACAAGCAACGTCCAATTGTACCGCCGAAACAGCAGCCAAGTTCCTTGTTGACAAAATTATCCTGCAGTATGGAGTACCTAAACAATTGTTGACTGATCGAGGTACCCACTTTATGTCCAATGTTTTTGAAGCCATCGCGTCTCGATGTGGCATCAATCATATTACAACAACAACATATCATCCACAATGCAACGGCCTTACAGAGCGCTTCAACGCCACATTGGTAGACTCAATTGGTACATATGTAAATCAACAACAAAGTGACTGGGATGATTATTTGCCATATGTCACCTTTGCATATAATACATCTAAACAGTCAACAACTCAAATGGAACCGTTCAAAGTGATGCATGGTCGAGATGCCATCCTTCCGTTTGATACTCCCAGTCAGATCACCAAATTATCAACTGTTAATGATTACTATACTCAACTCATCCGATTCTTAAAACAGGCCAAATCAACAGCATGGTACAATATCAAACAACAGCAAAATGTATACAAACGGACATATGACACTGGACGCCAAGACTTGCCACCACTCAAAGTGGGACAATTGGTTTTTCTAAAGCAAATGATGGTCAAAAATCTACGAAAGTTCTCACCTAAATATTATGGTCCGTTCCGCGTAATTCGTCAACTTGGTCGATTGAACTATGAGGTACAACACATCAACAATGGTCACGTCGAAAAAGCCCATGTATCACGAATTCGCCTTATTATGTAAAACTAGTGACAACGTCATCATTGAACAAGCTTCAGTGAATATTCAAATACAACATCATCATCAATCAGTACAAATACTCTAAAACTTACACATATACATATGTTGAGTTTTATCTCAATTTTTTTCAATTATTTCAAACTTCTTCTTACAAAAAAAATATTATATGAAAAATCTATAAAAAATAAAAAAAAAATTATATTGTTTTCAGCATTAAATGCAACTGCAACAAAGGAATGAAAAGCTTAAGAATTCCTATGTATCTTTTTTGTTTCAGAATTGTTTCTAGAATTGCTTTATAAATAAAAACGCGAATACTCTTCTTAAACCTTTTTGTTGAGACTTTAGACACTTTTTTGTTATTTTAGAGCTAGTTGTTTGATAAATATTTTTTTCAGCTCTTGATTATTCATACACATGTTAGGACGAGGTCATCCAAAACTATTTATAATATAAGCATTTCAAGGGAAAAATTTTTCAACATCAGAAAAAAATATCTTGTCACCTGTGATAAATGAGAACCATTCTGATTGTATGGAGAAAGAAACTTGGCAGCCTTGTTTTCTTATGTTAAAATTATGTTCATTTCTTATAAATCATTAATTGATCATCTGATTCTACACGTGTTTATATATTTGGCCTCTTCTCGCTCTCATCGCGTAACATCGCTGTTGCTTGATAGGTATAAAGCATATATTAACGATAAATAGCTCAACCAGTATCTTGTGATTTTATTGTGGAATGGAAACAATTACAAAAAAATGAATTTATTTTATTGAAGGTCAATCGAATTAAACTCCTGTTCAGTTCGACACGTATTTCAAAGTAGTCTCGAAATTGTAAATATTGGTTGGTTTTCGAGTTATATTATATTCTCCCTTTGGTGTCGTTCAAGTTCTTTCGTAGAGTATACTGATTTAATCAAATGTATGACTTCATTCTTGTTCATGTTTCAAAGTCGTAGGAGAGAGAATCACTCTTGTGAAACTGTAAAATTTCATTAAACTCAGTCTTGCATGCGTACGTGCCATGAGACAACGAGGGCCTACAATTTAGTCGAATACAAAAAATGTCGATCGCAAATTTCTCGAAAAAGAACTTGTCGATTCGACAAAATTGAAATCCCAATTTGTCGAATTCAACAAATTTTATTTAAAAATGTCGATAATTGTATTATCACGTTCCTTTCTATGAATTTCAAATTGAATTATGACCACCTAAAATTTAACTTGGAATCAAGTTGAAATCAACTTGAAATCATGTTTAAATTGTGTTGGAGTTAAGTTTATCGAAATCAGAACCAAGTACCAGGTTAACTTGAATTGGAAATCGACTTGCTAAGGAAAACAAGTTGAGTTTAACTTGTACGAAAATTCAGGGTGTAGGGTGGGTGTGGGTATGGTTAAAGAAAAAAAATCCTTACCCACATGCGCCCACTCCTATCCACATCCACACACCCACACCCGATAACCCTGGGACCGACCCGAACATAACTATGCGTTGTCCTTACAATAAGAGAGAAGGGACCTGAAATTTGAATGATTGTTTTTTTGACCTTTGTCCCTGACACAAATCAACGGACGCATTTTTTTCATATGACCCTCTCTTCAATCGAGGGAATTATTTCATGTGTTCTATTATTTTTTTTCTTGTTCAATAAAAGATAAAAAATCTAGCCATTGTTTTGCAGGATTTCACTAGACTTGCTTTATTCCAAGTTGATTCCAAGTTGATTTCAACTTGATTCGAAGTTAGATTTTAGTTGGTCATAATTGAATTTGAAATCCATAGAAAGGAACGTGATAATACAATCATCGACATTTTTTAATAAAATTTGTCGAATTCGACAAATTTCGATCGACATTTTTTGTATTCGACAAATTTGATGTTTCCCTGGGATCCCCATTGAAAAGAATTTTCTACATAATCAAGATTTTTCTTGATTATCGCTGAAAAAGTCGGATTTTTTCAAAAATAATCCTTCCTTTTTCGAACAATCGGATTAAAATCGATTGGATTTCCAAAATCGATTGAAAAAACAATCAAAATAATCTATTATTCTTGATTTTCGATTAGAAAATCTGGTTTAAATCCACAAATCGATTGTAATCCAGCCAATCGATTAAAATTTCAATCAAATTAAATCCGATTTTAACATTCTCAATCAATCGGAATCAGTTATAAGTTTCAAAATCGGATTCCAATCGTGGAATCGATCGTAACCCAGGCAAATCGATTAAAATCTCAATCAAATTTAGTCGGATTCTAAGATTTTCAATCAATTGGAATCAATTATAAGTCTGAAAATCGGAATCCAATCGGGCAATCAATTTTAATTCAGGCAATCGATTAAAATCCCAATCAAATTGAATCCGGTTTTAAGATTTTCAATCAGTTGGAATCAATTATAGGTCTGAAAATCGGATTCCAATCGGGCAATCGATTCTAATCCAGCTGATCGATTAAAATCTCAATCAAGTTAAATCCGATTTTAAGATTTTTAATCAATTGTAATCCATTATACCTTTAAAAACCGGATTCGAATCATACAATCGATTGTAATTCAGCGAATTGATTATAATCTCAATCATGATAAATCCGATTCTTAGACTTTTAATCGATTCTAATCCATTAGAAGTTTGAAAATCGGACTTGAATCAAGAAATCCATTGTAATCCAGGCAATCCATTTTAATCTCAATCAAATTAAATCCGATTTTAAGGTGTTTAATCCATTCTAATCAAGTATACTTGTGAAAAAGTGATTTCAATCAACAAATCCATCACAATCTAGGTAATCGATCGAAATTTCAATCAAATTAAACTAGAGTTTTGGATTTTCAACCCATTGTAATCAATAATAGCTTGCAAATCGGATTCGAATCAAGAAATCGATTGTAATGTAGCCAATCGATGAAAATCGCGATGCAAGAAAATCCAATTCCTATTGTTTCAATCGATTATGTTGGTAAATGTTTTTCAAAATATGATTCGAACCAGGAAATTGGTTGGAATGCAATCGATTTGCCAAAGTTTCAATGAGAAGAGTCCAATTCGTAGATGCACAATCCACTATAATCCATCAGTATTTCCAACTATGATTCAAAGAGATGAACTCACAATAGTCTTTCTGAACAAAGAGTGACACGGAGGCAGATACTGTTAGCGTTGATTTGCATTTACCGAACTCTCAAGTGCCGAATGCGTTAAAACTCAGTCTGGTGGAAAATCTCATGCACATGGATCCGACGCAAGACCGTCGGAGTCCCGCGGTCTCAATCAATGAAATACATGGGAAGCAATCCTAATCGTGACGAGCAGATCCGTTTAAATCAAAAGCATAGGCAAAATGCAGTTAGCTCGCCAAAAATACTCATCAGCTAGATCCTTCAAGGACAAGCCAGATTCCTTCCGAATCACACATTCCATGTACGTTGCAATGGTCATCATATCAGATAATCTAGAGGATCAATCCGACCAGAGAAGCAGCAAACTTGGAAACACTTTGATTAGAGATGGTCAGAGCTTCCTGCTCTACATATAAATGACTTGAATATTTCTCAACCATCTCCATTCAGTTTGCCGTAATGAATCCTAAACATCGAGAAGATGTGGTGGATACCCTCAGTCGTTCTTCGAATACATTGACACACTAGATTTCAGCAACACACCACATGTAGTGCTACCCATACCTCCGCTAATCAAGGGATCATCCTTACGAGCGAAACCTGTTAACTGAATTCCTGAAAGGTTTATCTGAATCGTTACACACGAACACCCGACTAAAATCGAGTTCGTCAGTTCTGGAACAATCCCAATCTCAAATTCATCGGACTGACTCACTTCATCATCACATATATGACATATCCGAACATCAATATCTCCAAGTTCTTCATTCAACAATGAGATAACTTCATTCAGAAAAGTCTCTGAACGTCCAAATGCACACCCACTAACAAACGACATGCTCTTCCCAAGACATCACTAGCGTGAATTCCTAACCATTTACCCTAATCGACAGAGAGTCCTCGATAACCATACGGTTCGTTCGAAGATGACCTATTCTGTCTTTACGACAACAGAAAAAAGCTCCTCCAAATGTCATTCTTCAATTTCGCCGAATACAACTCTTGATACGCTCACTTCTCATTTCCCTTCTTATTTTGTGTAATTAGTCACTATAATACTGAAGACCTTAGCTCTGATTCAAATCGGATTATTATGGATTTTAGAGAAGATTATTAAAAAATAAGTCCTTCTTTCGTAGAGACATTCTTTTTCCCCTATATGAGTAGTTTCGGGATCCCAACGTATATCCCTCATTCGATAGAGCATCCTCGATAACCATAGGTTTCGCTCGACCATGACCTATCCTTGTCCGTACAATAAGAGAGAAAAAGCATCTTGAAACGTCATTGGTCCATTTCGACCAATGAAATTCTCCATAGGATCACTTCTCATTCACCTTTTTGTTTTGAGCCAGTAATGTGTATATAAGTAGAGATGTTAGGGGGGATTAGAAACTGATTAATATAGATTCTAAGTGAGTTTTGTAGAAAGTGAGTACTAGGTGGGAAGAGATATTCTATATGCCCTAATGAATACTGCAGAGACCCCAACATACACCCCTCATTCGATAGAGCATCCTCGGAAACCCCAGGTTTGGTCGGAACATGCCCTTTCCTTGTCCTTAAAATAAGAGAGAAAAATCACCCTGAAACGTCATTGGTCTATTTCGACCAATGAAATTCTTCATAGGATCACTTCTCATTCATCTTTTTATTTTGACTCAGTAGTGTCTATATATCTAGAGATGTTACGGGTGATTAGAAACTGATTAATATTGATTATAAGTGAGTTTTGTAGAAAGTGAATACCAGGTTGGAAGAGATATTCTATATGCCCTAATCAGTACTGCAGAGACCCCAACATATACCTCTCATTCGATAGAACATCCTCAAAAACCATAGGTTTCGCTCGACCATGACCTATCTTTGTCCGTAC